CCGGTCAAATGGGCGGCAAGCCACTCCCACAAAGGAGGCCACACCCACAGAGTAGGTTCGAGCAATTTTTGAAACCCACCACTGATACATATCCCTTTTTAATAAACATAATTATTTAACCTCTTCCCTGTTAAATCAACCAGTTTATACTGGGATGAACCACCTAAAGAAATCATTTCCATTTTACTGGATTAAGCTGAGGAGTTTTATCTTGTCAACAGACAAGACCATTTTTTCCTGGCCTTAATCCAGGTCTCGTAGGCCTCCTTCGGTTCTGTGTAAGTGCAGGAAGTGGTTTGAGGCGTGACATTCAAGTTCATGAGAAACAGCTTTCATCAAATAAAAATTTCTGTCCACGTGGATAAGATCTGCTTAATTGTTTGAGGCAAAGGGCTCTTCAGGCCAAAGAAGGGGCAGAAAATAATCAGGGGAAGAAACCTCAAATATTTGCATCTTTGCACTCTGACCAGACCAAATTATGAAACATGGTTCTACTTTAAAAATAATAATTATGCAAAAAAAAAAAAGGCTGATTTACTCAGCAAATTTTATTTCTCAAATTGATATACTGCCAGAATCCAGCTGGGGTTGGGATAGAATACCTACAATTTTTTGTTCTCATCACTAGAGCATCCCTGGTCTTTCTTTTCCTCCCCAAATGAGAAAGCAAACACTTTCCTTCCTGAAGACCCGTGGAGAATCACCTCATGACATCTGTTTCCATTACCATGACAAGGGAATTAGGATGTTCAAAACAGCCCATAAACCCACAGCCTAATTTGTTCCAAGTGGCTCTGACAAGAGTGCACGATCTACCTAATTTGTCTGAAGTAGTGGTTAAAATTAAGCTACTATCAACTGTGTCCGTCATCATGCAATCTTTAGATCAGCCTGTCTGCTGAATCTTTTTTTTTTTTTAGAGCCTAATTGGAAACAGATTCAGGGACAATCAGCCAGGAGAGGTTCCCCTTGTGCATTAAGGCCACTTTTTTCCCCTAATAGCATCAATGCTACTGTTGTTCATTTTGTTCCAGTTCTTGGAACTACTTTGGTACAGATGGGAGACTGCTTTCTCACAGATTAAAATGACAGTGATTAATGTTGGCAATTAGCCTTTGGCAGCGGCAAGTTCCTTGAAGTCCACAGACAAACAGAAATGGAGCCACTTTCTAATTTTCTTAATGGTCATATCAATGTTTCACTACCATTTTACAGTTTTCGCCCATATACATGGCTCTTCTTAAATTTGCCTGCTTCCAATCGAATCGAACAATAATGATAATAAAACCTTCTAAAGGGATTAATTGTGTCAGTTTGTTGTAGCAAAGTAAATAAATATATATATAAAATAAAAAGCAGGTAAACAATCTGAGGGTCTTAAGTTACAGCACCTTAAATATTAACATATTTAAGCTCCTGCAGATGATAATCTACTCCAGAAATATAGACATTTTCTTGTGTTCCTAATTGTTTTTCATCAGGGAAGCAGGGAGGGAAGATTTTAAAGCTTTCAGCATCTGACAAGGGACCCTCAGGAGAAAAAAAAACTTTAGTATTGTCTATAATTAACATACAAAGCAAGTTTGCCTTTTTGTAGGGAGATATTGCCTTTCCTCCTTTCTTCCTTCTATCTTTTCTGCACTGCCTACAAAGTAACTGTGACCACATTCCACACCACTGATGAAATGAGTGGATTTGGATCAGTGGTGAAATTCAATTTTCTTTTACTACTGGTTCTGGTTGGTGGGCGTGGCAGAGGAAGGATACTGCTAAATCTCCATTCCCACATTACTTCTGGGGCCAGCCACAAGTGATATTTGCTGGTTCTCTGAACAATTCAAAATTTCCGCTACCGGTTCTCCAGAACCTGTCGGAACCTGCTGAATTCACCCCTGATTTGAATATTTAAAAAAGAAAACATAATAAGGAATCACAAGTTTCTTCATTAGTAAAATCAGTCTTCTTGACACCATCAGTTTCAAACATACTAGAATTATGAGACAAGCACAGAAATATTTTTCAGGCTGATCTGATTTTGCCCTTTTCCAAAATGTATCTTGTCCTATGTATCATGGAAATAAATTCACTATCAAATGCTTGTTTTAAGTCTCTGTTGATTTTTGTGTCATTTATCCACCAGTGGAAGCCCAACAAGTGATTTCCTTTTTTAAGGCATGGTGAATGTTGTACGAATCAATGGACTATAACAATTCTAGTAGTCCTCCACTTATGGCCACAACTGAATCCAAAATTTCTGTTGCTAAGTGAGTCAGTTCTTAAGTGAGTTATGCCCCTTTTTACAACCTGTTTTGTCACAGTTGTTAAGTGAATAACCACAGTTGTAAAGTTAGTAACACTGTTGCCAAGTGAATCTGGCTTCCCGTTGACTTCGCTTGTCACAAGGTCGCAAACGGTCATCACAACCCTGGAATACTGCAACTGTCATAAATATGAGTCAGTTGTCAAGTCCCCAAATTTTGCTCATATGACCATGGGGATATTGCAACGGCCGTGTGAAAAACAGTTATACGTCACCTTTTTCGATGCCGTTGTAACTTTGAATGGTACTAAATGAATTTTTGTAAGTCGAGAACTACCTCTGAACTGCATTTAAACAGTAGTCTTATAGAATTGGACAGGGCAACACATTGCCCATCTAGCTCCATGTCAGGAAAAGTTCCACATGTTAAATTTATGTCAGTCTGCTGTTATGACTGAAGCCAACAAAAAGTGGGGCATTTGCACACATGTCCTGTGAGCACCATCTGAGAATATTGTGAAGAAATATCCACAATAAGGAGCGCCCTCTTACTTCCTTAACCCCAGATCTCATACTGTAAGCTTGAAGAATCCAAGCCACCTTGCCCTATGATATGTCATTTTGTGATGGTAGTAAAATGTTTAGGGACACTTGATTCTTCCACCAAGTTATACCTCTGAACCAGGGGTGGGTTTGGGCTTCTTCTACTGACAGTTCGCTCAGGGACGCATTTCATGCACGCACGCACATGCGCAGTAGTGAATAATGATTCTGCGCATGCGCAAAAAACAAGATGGCAGCACCTATGGCACTCCTGATAGAACCAGTTCGGGGGCGTGGGAGGGCGAGTTACTACCTACTCAGCCAAACCGGTCCGAACCAGCAGGAACCCACCTCTGCTCTGAACATACCATAGTGAGAAGTGATTGGCTGGTCTTTGTAATCCAAAACCACAATTATGCACCCTTATTGTCTTTCCATATGCAGATTAAAGCATCGTCTTAATCAGAGTGGGGAAACCTTCTCTCCATCTTCTAAACTGTTGAGTATGGATGTGTGGTAAATAAACTAATAATTATTATATACTTACTTTTGAACCTTTACCGGCTTCTCTGGATAAGGGATAATCAGGTCAATAGCCGAGTCTGGCTTCTGGAGGAGTGTGCCTAATTTTGTCTTGATCTCTTTGGCTCTGCAGAGAAAAATTATGAAAAGGATACATGAAGATACAGTAGTTTCCCCTAAATGCAAGGCTGAAAAAGATGCTCCATCTGAGCAGCAGGGCATTCTACAGAAAGCTATGAGATCGAAATCTGTTGCATCCTTTCTACATACTGAAAATAGCACAGTATGTTCAATTAAGATATCGTGTTCGAACTTCAGATAGCCTGGTGTCTCTAGATCCGTTTTACCACAGCGCCTGTCATTCCCAGTCAGTAGAGTTACTGACGTCCTATTTCATTTAATTTCAGATGAAGTCATTAATTATTAAAATAATATTTTTCTTACTTATCTCTCACTCATTTAGATGAATGGCAGAAGAGTTAGGATAAATTGTGAAATAATTCTCCACCACAGAGGCTCTTGTAGTTTTGATAGGGGATGGAAGTCTGGTATTTTCTATTATGGCTGTATGCCAATTATATTTATTTCCTTATTTTAAAAAATTAGATGCTTGGCCAACTCCACATAGTTACTCTGAAAGGCTTACAACAGCCACAGCATAACAACCCAGAGTATAAACTCGTAACCCCCCCCCCCACACACACACACTCAGCAACCAACACAATCAAACTAGTTTCTTGATTAGCTCTGTATCAACCTGATATCCCCTAGACCACGACAGATCAAATACCAAAGTCCAGGACTGCCTGATCACAGCTTGCATGGCAAAAGCCGAGGTGGCGCAGTGGTTAGAGTGCAGTACTGCAGGCCACTTCAGCTGACTGTTAGCAGTTCGGCGGTTCTAATCTCACCGGCTCAAGGTTGACTCAGCCTTCCATCCTTCCGAGGTGGGTGAAATGAGGACCCAGACTGTGGGGG